AGTATAGAGAGCCTATAGTGAGGAAAAAGGTCACATGTGGGGTGGCATTGCTTTTACATCCCCCAAGAGAATATTCAATGGCCCCTACTCTTGATTTAGTAATACTAGTACGATCAAAATTTCCTTGAGAAACAGTTAAAATTAAATACTTATGTACAAAAATGTTCATCTTGATTAGAGTAAAATGATTACAACCTAAATCCCTAAAAAGAGGATAATATGTGTAATAAAATATAAATCCATAGAATTGAGTAATAGTCATTTAAATGACATTGAAGGTGTTTAATCATAGATGAAGTGTTATAAGTTCACTGAGATAGAGATTATACAGAGTAAGATATGAAACACTTTAAAATGCATCAAAAATGAGGATTATTTGAGAAATTGATTTTTAATTGTTTAAAGAAAATCTCATTTTTATAAGCAAATTTTAACTAAATATAATTTAAGTAAAAAGTAACATCAAATTTGTCCTGAAACTGAATACTTTTTCAACATCACCAGGTTAGGCATGCTGTTACTATAAAAGTAACATAAGGTCTCACTCTCTCGCAAAAGTAAAAAATGTTCACCCAAACTACAAAGTTATCCATTTGTAACTGATTACTAGTATACCTTTTTATTCATAATTAACCTTGGGTTGTTCTTTTAGCCTTTAATTTCTTCTGTGTTTGCATGTGTGTGCATGCCCCCATACATGTTATTAAATGTCTTTTAGTGTTTCATATTCTTCTTGCAGTATTAAACACTTCATTGAAGTTAAGAGAAGATCTATGCATTGCCAAGCTAATCGCCTCCACTAAGCTATCTGTGAGTATTTGATGAAGAACACAGAAGCCACCACAGCTAGAGAGCTACAAGGATCTGAGTCTCACCAATGGGTCTTAATCAGCTCCAAAGGCTCATTTGTTGCCTAGTGACAAATATATGCTAGCTATTTCCCATCATTTAAACCACGCAGAATCATCTTACTAAGAAATCAGAATTATGATTCTAGGGCTTCATTTAGCATGAAAAATTATATTTCATGTTAAATCTTATTTTCATGGTAAAAAGTCATTTCAGAAAATAGTGGAAAAACAATAAAAATAAATACTATGTTTTTTTGTTGGTTTTTTTTGGCACCTTCTGGATTTGAACTAAGTGAGAATGATTACAATTCAGTGGGTAAAGTTATTGCCAACTTAAGCTGTTTTTCTCAGTATTCTTCCGGATTTCTTAAGACTAGCTCATTCCGGAAGCTATACTGCCACCTTTAAAACTCCTTCCAAGACAAGCTATGCCTCCTGTTAACAAAAATTAAGCCTGAAAGAATTGTCTCTTGCTACCAGAGGTTAAGTGATTATAGCACTATTTATACAAACTGCTCATCAGACAGTTAAATGGCAAAACTGGAACTGATCTGGGGCACCCTGGGGCCTACCAGCAGCCTTTGGCACTCCTGAAGTGTGGTGAGGGTAATGTGCAAGAAGGACAGGAAACAACTTAGAGCAGGTGTGTTTGGGTGCTGGGTAGAGGAGGATATACTGTCTATTGCGCCTCATCATATGACAAATCAGGAAGGATCTCTTTTTACTTCCAAAGGAACAAAGGCAAAAAGAGGCATGGCCAGAGTTCATTGTGGTAGCCCCAGGAAACATCTTTCCTAAGTGACTAGAATTAGGAAAACAGAGATACAGAGTTAAATTTGCTAGAAAATAAACAGAAATGACCAAATTCTCTCTTAAGAAATCCAATACCATTTCTTTGTACTGTAGGGATAAAAGTGTGGGCATTTTGAGACTATCCTCCCTGAAACTAACATTACAGTCATCAGTGTCAGTCCAGCAGAATGCTGAATAACAAGAAAAATGTCAAAAAAAATGAAAAAAATAAAAAAACAGAAACCAAATAAGGATAGGGGGACATACTTTCTAAATGAGGGAAACAAGGGCTGGAGAGATGGCTCAGCATTTAAGAGCACTGGCGGCTCTTGCAGAGGACCTGTATTCAAATCCCAGCACCCACATGGTGGCTAACAACTGTCTGTAACTCCAATTCTAGAAGATCTGACACCCTCTCTGACCTCCGTGGGCATTGCACGACATGGATGCACATACATCAGACAATGTCTTCATACACACAAAATAAAACAACAAAATATTTTAAATGAAGGAAACAATGAATATATTCAGAAGAAACAGTGGGGACATGATATAAATTATATCTATGAATATTTAGAATTTGTCAGACACATATACATCTGTACGTTAGTGTATGTGCATATATGTATATATGGTTATATATGTATCAATGTGTGTGTAGATACATAAACGCATAAACACATGCAAACACACTGTGCCACCATTCTTTTCAACTAGCTCTTGTTCCATTCCTCCAAAGTTTGGGGCATAATAATATGACTTATTTGAACATACATCAACTAACTTTCATTCACTTTCTTGTTGCTAGACCAGTCAACAGACTGTTGCCAAAAGCAGAGATCAGGCCTTATACCAACTGAACCCTTTGCCACTGTCAAATTAAGGAACACTAGACACTTTAGTACATCAGTGTTCTGATTACCTGAAATAATGATCTTATGATCTCAAACAATTTACCATACAGCCAAATAATCTGAACAACAGATATTCTACATCCACTTGATCACATTTAATATAGGACCTTACTTAAACCATCTAAAGCTTGAGACAACTTGTATTTTCAAACTTGAAATGCTATACATTCTGGTTAATTCAGTACTTTATTTATGAATCTCGTTTCCAAACTAGGACCTTCAAAGCATAATTAACACAGCAGAAAATCAAAGATTTCCCTGAAGGATTTACTGACTCTGTGTTCTAGGATCTCTCATTTAATTCTTCCAAACTGACAGAATTGTAACAATAATAGTGGGTCAAAGGTCAGATATGTTCCTCAAGACACAAACTAGTGATGCATATGCAAATACATATCTATCTGTACATGCAGATACGTATTATAAGTTTTAAGCCTCCCCTCACTCTACATACGCATTTTTGTGTTGAGAAAATATACAAATTACAGTTTTGTTTTTAGTAGCACAGTTTGTTTTACAGCTATTTCAACACATACGCTGTGTTGACACCATAAGGCTCCTCATTAAAGGGTACAATTTTTTAAAAACAGCTTAAATAAATGCAGCTTTACTGGAAAAACACAAATTATCATGATAAATGCATGACCCAAAATTTTTCTTTTAAAACCATTGAGAAATTAAGTTTTGTGTTTTAAATTTATATTGAATCCAATTTTCTTTAATAGTAATAATTATTAACACCCAGAAAATGCTAAAACTATATATATATATATATCTTAAAAATTGATCTTAGCTAACATTGTTCAGCACAGCTAACAAGAAATGTCTGTTTAATCCTGCAGTCACATGGTGCTAAGTCATGGCAACCTTATATGTTTTTAGAATAGAAAATGAAAAATCTCTATGACTGTTCTTTAAAAAATTGGTGTGTACAGCCTACCAAAATCAAACAAACTTCAAGCTTCTATTACATTTGTTGCCAAAATGTATTCAATTTGTCTCTTTGAATGACTTACCAAATCAATCACAGTGGAGTGCAATTGTCCTTAAGTATTTTTAATTTGTATAAAAGCAATGGACAAATACTTTACTTTTCAAAATATTTATTAAAATATTACTGTTATTTATCTAAATGTCCTAATATTAAATACTCTATATATATAATACTAATGCTTATCAATTCATTACTTCACAACTATAGTATTTGGTAGAGATTCATGATGAATATTTTGGTTATGTATGTTATGGAGAAAGTATTCTTGGCTTCTCATAAGTAATGGAAATCTGTTTATTGCTTCCATAGTTCCTAGTATCAACCAAAGACAATATCACAGACAGATATAAAATATATTATATGTGAACCTCTATTTTTATCTTGCAACATTAATTTAGACAATGTTCTTAACAGTTTTGTGGTCATATGGTTTATGAATTTATTATCAACTAAATATCTTATTTAAAATATATGAAAGGTGTTGGAGGGATGGCTCAGCAGTTAAGAGCACTGGCTGCTTTTGCAGAGAACCTTGGTTCAATTCCCAGCACCAATATGGCATCTAACAGTCATCTATCTGTAACTCCAGTTCCAGGGGAATTCGATGCTCTCTTCCGACTTCTGCAGGCATTGAATGACATGAGTGCATTTACATGCATACAGGCAACATATTCATATGCATAAAATAAAAATAATAAAATAAAAAAGTAATTTATTATTTTTATTTTATGTGTTTGCGTATATTGCCTGCATGTAAGTAAGTATACCCATGTTGTACAATGCTCACAGAGGTCAGAAGAGGCTGTCGGACCCCCTGGGACTGGAGTTATGGACAGTTGTTAGCTGTCATGTAGGTGCTGGGGTGCAAACCCAGGTCTTCTGCAAGAACAACCAGTGTTTTTAACCACTGAGCAATCTCTCCAGCCCCAAATAAATTATTTTAAAATATATGAAAGATCCTGGCACGGTCGCCTACACCTATAATTTTATCACTTGGGCTGCTAAAGAAAAAAGGGTCACACGTTCAATGAAAACCTGGGACTCACAGCAAGACCCTGTTTCAAAAAATAACCCAAAATATATAAATAATACAATGTATTAAAGACATTAGGATTACTGGAAATGGAAACAGTATATCACAACTTTGATTTGAACTTTCTACATGAACATCAAAGAGCCTTCCAAAGCTATTAGTCTTTAATTCAAAAAGGACTGGGATCACTGTCATTTTAATTTACTAGCATATCCTATCTTCTTACTTATGTATTAACCCATAAAAGTACAAAGAACAAAGTCATCCTTATGTATGGATAGAAAAATTTAAAGTTCTTTTGAACTATCAGTACTTTTTTTCAGTAGAAATATTTTTGGCTCAGAAATTTGCACCCCCTCCAATGTTTCAGAATAAACTGCAAAGCCACATCCATATAGAATATATGTATTACTTACCTCTGTCAAGTGGGGTGTTGGGTTAAATCCACAGAGATTACACACTTGATTCTTGCATTCTGTGCAAGTATTGAAGTTGGGAGGCTCCTGAGAACCTATGTTGAGTTCAGTTTTACAAAGAGGACAGGATGATTTTGGTTTCCTGGGCTCGACCTTGTGGGAAAGCACCTCCTTTTCAGACTCTGCAGTTAGAGGTTTGCTGTCCTTACCAGGTGGGGGCTTCTTTGTTTCTGTTCCCTTTGCTGTTGAAGCTTGCTCAGGTTTGGGCTCTGGCTTTTCAGCTGCGGGAGCTTTTGTTTCTCTTTTCACAGGTGTCACCTTGGCCGGTGGTGGTGCTGGCTGACCTGTGGACTTGGGTGGTCCCTGAGCAGCAGGAAGCTGTGAGGGTGTTGGCGCTTGCTTCGTGGGGGCGGCCGGTCCACCCTGTGGATGAGGTCCTGGCTGGCCTGCTGTGGAAATTAAGTTTGATGCCTGGCTAAAAATGGATGCTCCAAACCCCAAGAGTTTCCCAGTCACGGTTTCTTGTGGAGTTGTGGGCTGTGACTTGGGGGCATCGGTGATACTACCCAGGCTCAGGCTGAACCGTCTTGACTGTTCCTGAGGCTTTGGCAGCTGCTGAGTTGAGGGTGCAGTTTGGGCAGCGGTAGGTCGTGGGCCAGAGGGTGTTGGTGACCCTTTTGGCACTGGCTTGGCATCTGGTTTAGTGCTCGCTTTGGTCTGTGCTTTCTTAGGTTCTTCTTTCTTCTGAACTGGGTCGACTTGTTTTGGATCCTTGCTTTCTAAACTGGGCCCACGATGTGAAATAATTTTCGAGTCCGACGCAGGCCGAGGCATGGCTTTAGAATCCAATGGAGTGACTTTTTCTCCTGTTGTTGGAAAACTCTGTGAGGGTTTGGCAGAGTCTGTTTTCACAGGAGAGGCTGTTTTCTCTTCAGCCTGTGACTGCACCGGTGAGCTAGGAATGTCAGGTTTTGTTGCTGTTGATGAGGAAGAGTCAGTTTCTGTGGATGGCTTTCCCATCTTGGGCTGCTTTGGTTTATCATCCTCAGTGAGGGCCTTTACCTGCTCAGGTGGGGATGCCGAATGCTCCTTGGGAACAACTGACTTGGATAAGGTCTCTGGCGCTGGAGAAGGTCCATGAAGGGTTGACTGTTTCACCAATGGTGGAGGCTTTTTAGACTCAGGTGCCTTTGCACTGTCCTGCTTGGGTACAGGTTCCTTCTTTGGGGAAGCCTGCTGTGATGGTAGGGATGGTTTACTGGCTGTTGCTGCAGGAGTTGCAGAGACAGCCTTCGGTCTGGGCTGGGGTGAGGATAGGGTGGGAGCCAGTTCACCTCCTAGAGCTCTTTGCATCTGACAACTTAAACAGAGCCACTCTTTCACCTAGAAATAACATAAAACAATGGTCACTAAGATAATGTTGTAAAAACATTCTTAAAACATTCTTGCTATCATTTCAAATTGCTTTTTATTTAAAGTATCAAATGCCTATAGGCATTGTTGTGCTTAAACTACAGTAAAATGCAAAATTCAATTGTATGAAAATTATGAACCTCGGAGACAAAAGCATACTGTATTTTAGGGAAAATAAAAAGAGAAACTCAGCATGGTTTTATTTGACCTCCAATGGTATTTTTTTTTATCTTTTGCTTATGATTTAGTTAATCAGATTAATTCCAGAAATAGAAAAATATGCATAATAAGAAATAGGAATTTTCAGTTATTAGACTCCATTAATACATTGTGATATATATTTTTCTCTGCTGATGGTTCATCATCAGTTTTTAGTTATACAACCCACGGTAGGCTTGTCAAATTATGAAAACACTACTAATTTCTTAAATTAGAAAAGCATTACTTCCCCCTCGAAGTCAAAATACTAAAATGTGTGAAAAAAAAATTATTAACCAAGCTAGGTAGAAAGAGAATATTCTCTGCAAAGAAAATAAATAAAAACAATAGCAACCTAACCATCATGAATATCATGCCTTAACAAAGACAATATGGTTTCCTTGTAAGCTTTAGTACACTGAAGAGAGCAATATAAGTATTTTAGATATTAGATTATATGTATATGTGTACAGAGTTTAGAAGGGGAAGATAAAGATAGGGAGAAGAAGATACATACATATATAAATATCTATATCTATATATATATCCCCTTCTGCAATATATATATGGAAGAAACACAATGTATATACAAATACTGAATTGTAATTGCATTTCATATTTAATCTATTGTTGAAAAGTATGAAGTTTAATATAATACATTCAAGGATAATTTTAAAATATGCTGATTTACTCAGAGAAACAAAAGATGTATGTTCTCCCTCATTTGTGGATCCTAGCACAAATACTTTTATATTCCATGTTCTTTTGATAAGATGATGCTGTAAATCAGTCTCTTCTGTGTGAAATAACTACCACCATCACGACTTCAGCTGTGCCTACTTGCTAAACATCATCACAATTGGGCTTGTTGACAGTTGTGCTCCTTCATTAAAGGAGGGGCAAGCAAGGTCAGTGGACCCTTACTGGAGTATCCAGCCACTCCTCCCAAATAATTTTATGTAATTTGGCCCAAATCACACATGGTCTCCTGGATTTGGGAAGTACTAAAGTATATAAATTGGAGAAGGCTAGGAAGAGAAGGCTTGATCCATGCTGGGAAAAGGCTTTCCAGTGTGCATACCCCCAGGCCACTCATACACCTCAGCAAGCCCTCAGTTATCTTGGTAAGTAAGCTCAGTAAATTCATTGGTTCCCAAGGAAAACTTTAATCAAACATTGGTTTGACACTAGAACCTTAAAAGGGAATAAGCATTGCTTAGTATCCCTAGGAAAAGAACTCTCACAACAGATGGAAAATTTATTTGTTAATGTTATTATGTCTCATAACTACTAAAAAAGGAATGAGAATGTAAAAGATGTTAAAACAATATGGGAATGGAGATATTTTCCACAATAGACAGAAAAAATGAGAAAGCCTAAGCAAGAGATGAAGGTCTGTGTAGGTTTGGTATGGTATATAAAGGATGAGACAAAAATAATATACACATAAATATTAAAATTACTAAGGTCATAGCTTAGTCAACTAGTAATAAGGAACAAAATATATATCTAATCAAGATTTATCTGAGAATGCTTCACTTTTGTCCAAGCTTTATCTACATTGCACACAGTAATTAAAAGTACTAGACTGGTAGAACTAACCTTCTTCAATGTTTAACAGCTATACTTTGAGGCCTATACTAATCTGGTCAGAGAGACTTAAAGGACAGTTTTTGCTCTTTGCCCTCAAAGGTCAACTAAGAGCATGACTTGTGGAGCATCTCTCAAAATGTCCTGTAACTGTGTGAGTCATATGTCCTCCTGTTCAGGGAGGCCATGGAGACCCCACTAGGTGGACTTGAAGGAGTGTCCAGTCTACAAAGAGGAGGGTCAACTCAGAGGAAGGACTTTGGCTTATCTTCACATAGATGGAACTGGTAAAAGAAAGGAGCCAGGGGCTCCTCCCATGCCAATGTGACCCCAAAGGAACAGATTCTCCAACTACCTTAGGGGTAAAAATAAATTGGTTTATTTGGACCAACTATATGGTCTTGCATACTCAAAAGGAAAGTATAACCAAAGATTAAAGTGATCAGTATATTTCTTTAAGCGTTCAAGGGATTATACTCCCCAGACATTAGGCTTAAATCCATATAAAATGTTATTTAGACAATTATTTCTCATTAATGATTTTGTTTCTAAGCAGAAAGTGCTGCTCAGATGTAAGACTTCAAATCTTGCTCTGCAATACTGTAGTGCCCACGTGTAGCTAAGGGAAATAACCCACTATTTTTCTAAAATGATGTCTAAATTAGTTTTCTCCTTTATGTAGAGGCCTTTGAGAGGGAACTGACACTGATTCTAGCCACTCCAACAGCTATCAAAATGTTTGAAAACAAATCCTGAGTCCATCAGTCTCAAGTTGAGCCTTGGCAGACAAAAGAAAAATGAGGAGGAACCCAATAGAGGGATGATTTTGGAAGCTCTTGTCAAGAAATTCCAATGGATTCTGATATGAACATTTGAAATTTGCCCTGTTCTGACTTTTCTCTGGTTCCCTGTCTAGAACTTGTAATGCTAAGTCCTCTTGCCTTTGCTTCTCCTTCACATCCCCTATTCCCCAGTCAAGGACCTTCTTTTCTCCCTACAGATAAGAATTATGCAATTTGGGAGTCTTTTAGATAGACCCAATGATGGGGCACTCCAATTGCCTTACCCTACATCCCTGTTCAGCATGGAAGAAGTCAGAGAGATCTGTGTCCTGATTCCCTATCAATAATTTGGGTAACTTCTTCAGAGGATGGAGTGATAAGAATAGGAGGTAGAAATTGGCTAGGCAGTTAAGTTAAAAAGACCCCAAAGAAAAGTAGCCAGTTTCTTGGCTAAAAGTCAAAATGTCCTTGGGCCTCTTAGCAACATACTCGGTTCCAAAGGCCAAAAATGTCAAAGTATTTGGGAGCTCTTATCTAATCCCTAAAAGATTTCAGGGTTACCTCTTCACAGGGGTGAATGTTAGAGTAGCAAAAAGCCCCATGAAAGAAAGAAAGAAAGAAAGAAAGAAAGAAAGAAAGAAAGAAAGAAAGAAAGAAAGAAAGGAAAAAAGAAAGAGTACACTAAGTTGTTAGAAAAGAAGTGATGAGGAGATATGGGAGGTGTTGGAGTGGATTTGATCAAAATACCTTATATGCATGTGTGAAATTCTCAATAAAGTTTTAAAAATTATGCCTATTTAACAGATCTTTTGTATGAATCTAAACTTATTTTAAAATCACAGATTATCATAAATATCAACATAATTTAGAATGTCAAGTTCTATGGGATTCTAATCCTATCATTCACAGTAACCAATGTTAATAGTTTGTAACTGAAGTTTTTGGTACAGAATGTTATAGGGTGAAAAAAATGTAGATGCCCCATAGGCACCAGAGAAATGTCATGTAGCAATAATAATAGACTGTTGGTTTGCTAAGCATCATATTCTTTACTTTTAAGCAATTGTATTTTGGAAAAAAATTATTTACTCATTCCTAAACTTTATAAAGCTGCCTTGATTTTTACCTTTCTATGTATTTGAAGCATTTCACAGAATAAACAACTCTTATGAATGTAATACTTGAAGTTCTAAAGCAAACAAGCAGTTGCTCCTTGTGCAAGTACTTTGTTGAAAATCAGGCTGGAATGTAAAAGAACTTTAACTCCATCAGAGCCTCCTCTTGGTGAAATGAAATAGCTCTGTAAGTCAGCATCTACCCACTAACCACGTTTCCAATCAGCAATGTTAATTCTGTAGTCCTACTATTTATTTTTGTTCATTTATTTTCTTCCATAGCCTTACATGATCAGCTCATTAATGAGATTAAATGACAAATTTCTAGGATCAACTCTCATTATCATTATGCTCTCTTAGTCTAACAACTTTTATACCCAAAGTAGGTGCAAAATGTAATCAGTACTCATTCTTTCATTCAACTATTTATTGCACACTTTGGACAGAGCACACAAAAAAATGAAATTCCATCCCCAGTAATAGCTGCGTTACAGTGAAAGATCAGAAGATACAAAATTAAGGCATAATGTAACTTCAAGTTTTATAGATATATAAAAGAAGTATCTGACAGTTTTATAATGACTTCGTCATTCCAGCTAGCTTCTATCTCTTTTTTACGCCTCAAAAAAAAAAAAAAAAAACCAAATTTTTTTTGGGGGGTGGTGTTACTTGGCCTCATGAGTAAAACTGTAAGTTTCTTAGCAGTGTGAACATTGGACCTTAATGTCTATCAGTAGATCCCAACCTCATCTTTGGCTAATTTCAAAACTCACAGTCCACCAATACATATCTGATGTTTGATGTATGTCAGCTCTGGGAAATATATTTTATACTGCTATTAGGCCAAAAGTAACTGATTTATTGTAGTTTATAAATGTGCATAACTGTTATCCACTTAGAAAAAGAATTCTCTTCTTGGCATACCCTTTCATGGAGCAATTTCACTGTCTTATCTTTTCTCCTTTCAATAATCTTTTTTTTTACTTTAATAAACAAAGCATGAGATATTTGATCCCTCAATATTTGACTTCACCAATGGATACAGGCTGAAGTCATCATTTATAGTCATCACAATACAAAAAGCTTTTTATCCTCTTAGGATGTTTTTGGAAAGAACCTTTTAATTTAATTCTACTAGCCATATTTGGTGAACAAGGAAATGATTTTTATCTCAGCACTGAAAAATCCTCTCACAGACACACTAGGCTTACTAAACACTGACTAAATGGCAAAGCTCATAACCAGCCTGCATATTAGCATCATTAACCAAGAACATCATAAGTCA